CCGGTAAGGGGATCCCATCCCAACCCTCTGCACGGTGTGGTCTGCACCACGCTCAGCCAGTGAGCACACCAGCCATCGCTATATAGGATCCGAACCGCAGCCTGGGCGCTCCCAGCACCTCACTCTCCCGAGTGAGCCACGGGGTCGGCCCTTTACTGACTTTTCAGTCTACATAAAGGCATGCTTGTGAAACAGGGGAAGATGAACAGAGATGAAGGGAAGTAGAACTCACAAAGTGCCTAAAACTGACACCTTGGTCAGCCTGATGTGTTGTGTGGAAGACAGAAAAGGCAGGTCCCACCTCTATGCCTTGGTACCAGTGTTAGGAGCTAATTGCCTTTGCAGCTGTGTCAGTTCATGGTGATGGCCAGTCAGCTAGCTCATCCTCCCCTAGAGCTTTTTCCTCTGAATCCTTCCTCAGTGCCAGATGCTTCATTTCTCCCAGGTAATGGTTGGAATGTACAAGGGTGGTGAAAGCAAATGCTTGAAAATGTCTTCAAGGGATGTTTTTTAAATCTCTAAACTAGTTTACTATGAATACAAGTATTTCTAGCTCTTTTCCTTTTGTGTTTTACTTGTATATATTTAAGGAGTACAACATGATGTTTTGGTATTTTTATACATAGTGAAATTTTTATTATAGTCAAGCAAATTAACATATCCATCATCTGCAACAGTTACCCTTAGAAATATTTCTAATGACATCCTTAATTATCTGCTAAGTAGAGCATTTTCTTACCTGGTAAACTGTATATCCTTGACAGCCCTTTCCGTTCCCAACTTTGTGTAAGTCACTTGTTCAGAGTCCCCCTAGAAATATGCATAGCTTTTTAGAATGATTTTAAACATATAATTGTATAGAGTAGTTATGATCTGGTAAGTTTTCAGTGTTAATACATTGTTAGACAGGAAGTTCCATTTACTATTATGGCAACTTTTTAAAGAGTGCAAATCATTTAGGGAAAAATGAAATACTAAGCATATGTCTATTCTAATCTTCACAGTGCTAAAGAGAGGCTAGCAATGTTCAGTACCCACTTCCTATGGAGGAAGAGCAGCATGGATCTTTAGTCAGCACTCCGACTGTTACTACAAGACCTCTCCTCGAGTCTCACCTGGTGTTGGAGTTACAAATCATCTCATAGTGCTCAACAGAAATCATTTCCAAGAGAAAACTTGGTGATTCCTACCTCAAACCTTCAAATAGTAGCTTGGAGAACCCCTTGGCCATGGTTAATTGTATTATCTCTTTTCCTTTGGCTTTCAGATTTCTGATATAATTCTTGTTTTTAATTTGGTGAAATACTGAGGTGTTTAATAGACAGGTATATTAAGTTCATAATGACCTTTTAAAAAAAAGTCACAAGCTCATTTCTAAGAGATACCCATTTGTTAACTTTATTCAATAAATATAACTAAAATGGCATATTTTATATTTCTTAAAAAGCTGCATTTAATTAGATTTTAGAAATTGAATATTATCGCCTAATAACTAAAGGTGTACTT